GCCTGCTCCCCCTGCTGCCTGCACGCCCTGCTCCCCCTGCTGCCCGCACGCCCTGCTCCCCCTGCTCCCTGCACGCCTGCTCCCCCTGCTGCCCGCACGCCCTGCTCCTCATCTCAGGCTCGGGCCGCGTCTGAAGGGCGTCAGCTCCCGGAGCCGGCTTGCACCTTGGAGAGGGGCACCTGTCAGGGGCAGGGTCTGAACAACCCCCGCTGGGCGGTGAAGAGAAACAGAAGGGAGGCCGGCAGGCGCACAGGCCTTCCCTCCATGATTACAGGGAAGGCTGGAGGTCTGACCTCTGAAGCTGAGGGCCACTGTGTCCCTGGAGTGGTTATAAGCAACACGCAGATGCGTTCGTGAGGCTCACGGCGTGCGAGGTACGCAGCTGGACACTGCCGAGTCCAGCTCCACTGGGATGTCGTGGTGCCACCCACCCTCTAAACGAGGGTCAGCTCACCTTCATAAGCGGCAAGCCTTATGTAACAACCTGCATCTCTTATGTAATAATAACAGTGGCAGATTTTATAGACTGTCACCGGGGGCCTCCCATTGTTCTAACTCAGCCAATCTTCAAAACAACCCACTGCAGTAGTAAATCCGATTCGAGCCCAGCCGTTGTCTCCGAGTCTCCGCCACACTGAGAGGGGAGGAATCAGGGCTCGGCTGGCCTACAGAAGGGAGTCTCTCGGGAAGCCTCTTCAGGACTCCAGACGAAGCCGCCCGGCGGTGCTCCGCACACCTCCAGCCGGCTGGGGAGGCCTGCAGCATCGCCTCCTTGGCTAACCACACCCCGACCGGCTCTGAGAGGTGATACCAGAAACTGCCCGCTGGAATCTCTGGCTTGACAGTGTTGCCGCCTTGGTCTCCAGGGGACATATGGAGCCCCAAAGCCCTGCATGCTCCCTGGAGAACTCACCATCACACCTCCCCATGGGAATCTGTGTTGCTTCCTACCCACAGGGCCCTCTTTTTTTTTGGTTGTACCGAGGATCAAACTCAAGACCTTGTACTTGCCAGACAGGCACTTATGTCGCTGAGCTAGACCCCCAGCCCTGAGCCCCCTTCTTAAGCACAGCAGAGGAAGACACTGATGCCTCGCTCACCCCGCACTCCCTACGCACCTCCACCTCAGCAGCCAGTGCTGTGAGCTCACTGGCCCGGTTCAACTGAGGTGCTGGTTACTGGGGCTGCACTTAATGCCAGCGAGAGTCAGAGGGCCGCTCTGGAGCAGTCCTTAGTTGTGGCTAACAGCACTGAGCTGAAAATGCCCCACTGCAGCCCTGAGGGGAGAGCTTGGAGCTGCGATCACCTGAGCTCCAGAGCCCTTCTGCAGGCCAGAGCTGCTGTGCCCTGGGGGAACCTGGCTTTTACCCCGGCCCTGCCTGGCCCTGGGGAACCTGGCTTTTACCCCGGCCCTGCCTGGCCCTCGGGGAACCTGGCTTTTACCCCGGCCCTGCCTGGCCTGCTTCCATCTGCATCTCCCTTCTTTTTTTTTTTTTTAATTTTTTTTTTTATTTATTTGAGAGAGAGAGAGAGAGAGAGAGAGAGAGAGAGAGAGAGAGAGAGAGGGGGGTGTGTGTGTGGCCAGCTCAGCCCACCAGGGGGCGGGGCTGGCTGGCATGTGGTGCTGGGGGATTGAACCGCGGTCCCTGATGCTTTGCCAAGCTAGTTGCAAGTAGGTGCTTTAGACCACTGAGCCATCTCTCCAGCCCTGCATCTCCCTTCTGCACTCTCCTACTGGCTCTCCTGGGATCCCGACACAAGAGAGCACGTGCACAGCCGTCCCTGCCTCTGGTCGGCTTCTGCAGAGGGCTGAGAGAGGATACTGGCCTTGGTGGGCTGAAGAGCTGCTGGACGCCCAGAAGGTCCCCTAGGTGCTGCCTTCCGGAACAGCCTGGAAAGAGGTCTTGGCTCCCTGACACTGTGGTTTCTCACCTTGGGAATGAGGATCCTTTAGTACAAAGGGAATGTTCTAGTGAGCCATTTACAATGCTCTTGTTCAGGGCTGAGCTACTTACTCCTCAATAATTAATAAGTTACAGAGATCAAGATACCGGAGGGTCCTCACACAATAGTACTGAATGAACTCTTCATGATGGACCTGTGAACTTACGACCAAATAATTGTGCCTACAACAAAAAGAAAAAATGACAAAATGGCTCAAAATGCTGGCTGGCTGGCTGGCTGGCTACCTGAGGGCTGCAGGGATCCCTGTGCTAAAGAACTCCCTTCTCACCTGTAAGGTCTGTGGAAGATGCCCGCCCAGCCCCTCAATTCACAGTCCTGGTTCTTCTGAATCAAGTCCTTACTGTAAGCATTTCTCACAGTCATTTTAAACTTTAATTACAGACTCTACTAAAGCAAAGATCAAAATTTCTATAATGGTTCTTTTATGATGAAGCATTTATTTGTATATCTCTTTGGAATAGATTTTCCTACCCCAGGCCTAAAAAGATATTCCACATAGAAATCATTCTCAAAATACTTTGTACACTTGAGAGTGTGTCCCTCTGTCTCGTCTCATGCAATGACTTGTTAATGAAGAATAATTAAAATTGATTCTTATTAAGATGAGAGGAGACGCACTGCATTTCACAAATATTTTGAATATAAAAGCTTCAAGTACATAAATATCTTTAATAGAGAAATTAGGATTCAAAGCTTCATCCATGTGGAGCATCTACATCTGGTGCATTTCAAATTGGCTGCTGTGGTTGTAACAAAGAATCTGTTTCCTTCAGGAACAGCCAAATTGGATAGACAGAATTATAATTCTAATGTGTTGGTCCAGGTAAAAGGTATCCCTCTTGTGTGTAGATGACCGTGTTAGCTCAGCCTTTCTTTCCATCCTGGAATCTGGGCACCTGATTTAGCTAGATATTCCTGATCCGAGGGTTGTAAAGGAGCTCCCTCAAGAGTGTTGCGGAGTACTTTTCCTTCTGTGAGCTGTTCAGCTGGACCCAGGCAGCAGCGTCACATTAGGACTTCAGCTTGGGCATCTTGGTGAGGGGAAAGCCGCCCCCAACGAAGCGAGGGCCACTGGGCTTGGCAGCCAGGATGGTGTTGTCTGTGGGGATCTTGTCTTTGTCCCTGCAAGAGAAGAGGCGAAAATTAGCTTCTTTACTATCTTCTTCTCCATCGACTCTGACGCTAAGTTCCTAGGGGAAATTAGCCATTGAAAACAATTTTGATTAAAGCTTCTAGTTTTAGACAAGGTGGCTGTGTAAATCTAATTAAGTGTTCATGGGCGACACACAGTAGGGAGAGACAACTGCTCATGTGTGTGCATCCCCAGTGTGGACGTAAACATGGACAGAAGACTCACGACGACTCGAATAGCAGAGAGTTGGTGGCTTCTGAATAGAATCACCTTCCTATTTTAAAAAAAGTAATTTGTTTAGCTCCAGACATTAACCAGAAGAATTTTCTATTCACACAATTATAGCAACTAAATCATTTCTCATCATCTGGCACATTCCAAAGTTTAGGGGGAAATCCACAAATTTTTACCAAACATAAAGTATTTCATCAAACTTGGATATGTCCAAAATACAAAATTTCTTGTAACTCTAGGTTAATGGTTAAATTGGGTAAGATTGTATTCGTGGCAACAGATACACAGAGTTCTACCCTAAAATTTCAAGTGGATTTTCTATATGAAAACCCTTGAAATACATACGTAGCCCCACGTTTGTTCAGATTTCTTCCAGAAGTGATTTAGATTTTCACAAGTGACGTGTGGTGTGACCAAAGGCCTCAGACAAAGCACCAGTGGAATCTCCTTTAAACAATTAGGAAAACTGCTAAATCCAAATAAATTAGGTAAGACAGCGCTGCATGTTTCACATGAGAATTAATTCTGCCACTTGACAAAGAATCCTGCCCTGAAAATTCTAGGCCAGCAGGGGGCCCGAGTGGCAGAGTCAGGGATACATGAAATGCCCACGAGAACCAGTGAGTGTGGAAAGGAGAGACAGCGAGAAGAAGGTAAGGCATGACATGGGCTGCGATTTGATACAGGGCAAGTGGGGGGGAACCTTCCAAACTTTTCCGTTTGGAAATAATCTGAGAGCGCTCATTAATCAACATAGCAATCTCTTAGCAGAACTGATTTCCTTACTGTGCATAACCACCCTCTCTAAATGGGACAAAACTTTAGCCCTGAGTGGATCCAGCAAAGAGGATTCCTGCATGTTCTCCGGCAACTTGTACAGCTCCTGATTGGTGCGAGAGGCAGGCTATGCTCCCCACTCCCCGGCATGCCCTTGCCTTAGATAACCTAAATTTTCCTTTCTGAAGGAACTTAAGCTTAATGCTTCTGGCTGGGTCTAAGCTGACTAATGGGAATACTGTCTCCTTTACATTATCATTTTAATGTATTTATAGACCATTATAATGACTCCCTGCAGCCTTCTTCCTTCCAATCTCAACCATCTCAGCATTTTAGTTCTTGCCTGGGCACATTTTTCTCCAACACCTTCGTCTCTTTTGCTCTGAACTCAGCGCTCTGTCTCCCAGGTTATGTCGCTACCAGATGGAAGAGCCCCTGAAGCCCAGCCAGGTCAAAGTGGCTGCCACTGCTGGGCATTTAAGGACAGGGAAAGCAAAGGTTCCAGAGCAGCACTGTCCTGGGCCTCTTCCCGCACTCTTGGAGTCGCCACCGGCCGTATGTGGCCGGTGAGCACTTGAAGTGCAGCCAATGACACTGAGGAACAGAATGTTCAATCTGCTGTGGCAGGAATGTATTTGAATTTAAATAGCCACAAGTGGCGCTCGGCAGGGGCACCATGATTCTCCTGGACGGCCATGGAGAAGGGTGGGCCAAGGCCACAGAACATGGTCCTTATGCTTCCTGGGTCCTGCAAAGGATGCAGCACTTGGTAAGGTTAAAGGGACTAGGCCCAACGCAGGACCAAGGCAGGAGGAGCATTCGCTGTGGGCTGCAGTCGCCGCTGTTCATCCACACAGCTGTTGGGAACTGCATGCACCAGACCACGGCTTTCCCAGTGCACCGAGGGGCTCCTGTGAGTGTAGCGTGAATGGAGCAGAGCTCCTATCTATGCTTTTATCTTTAAAAGCTAACAACGACACCTCACTCATAGTCACAGGAAGACAATAGCATGCAATGTATACATCAAAATATATGGAGATAAATCTGAAACCATCCTAAGATACAAATTGTATTTAAAACTATGTACGTGCATATGGTAGGGGAAGCTTTTCCCAACCGGGGCATGTCAAAGCTTGAAGCCCAGTGGGCTCGACGCTGTCCTCTGGTAGGAGCAGGTCACATTGACATTAGCTAAGCGCAAGTGTGATATCCGACAGGAAGCCCGCAGTGTTTCTCCCGCACCGTTCACTCACTTCATACCTCTAATCTTTTGGTGTACAAACTTCTGTGCACATGAAAATCACCTGAGCTGCCTGCTGAAGGGTGGATTTCTGAGGCCCACCCAGCGCCTTCGGAGTCTGCCGAGGTGGAGGGAGGGACGGGGCGGGGGTGTTTAGTACATCGTGCTACAGGTTCTCCAGCAGATTGTTGCTACTCCTACACATTAATTCTTATCTAAATGATTGCAGCGTTCTCCTCTACCACGATGGCATCTAAACGTGGAACTGGGGGTATTCTGATGTGCAGGGAGGGCGGACATCACTGGCAGGCGAATTAGCCTCTGGTTACCTATTCGCTGCTTGCCTCTAGCAGATCATAGTCTGATGCATGTGAACCAAGTCTCACGTGTGCCAATGTCCCCAGAAATGAAACACCAGTATGACTGTCAACCCACAATGTAAGTTGCAGCCAAGGCAGCAAGATGATTTTGGAAATGTCATGCAGTCAAACCAAGTTTCAAAGCTTACTGATTCATTTGGGTTTTCTACCCTGGCCTAGAATCGGTGGGGGGCGGGGGGGAGCACAGTCATACAGTGAAGGGAATGTTTATAGTCAACACAAGAGCACCTGAGACTCAAAGTGTCAATTTCATATCTGCATTACCATCTCCCCTCAAAATGGCTTATGTCAGCACCCCACGGCAGATACCAAATCAAATATGAGGTGTGGGTGACAGTTCAGAGACTGGTCACCTACAGTATAGGAACTGCTTGTATTTCCAGCAGTACAGCTGCAGTTCTGGGGCAGTCTCACCGAAGCCTGCTCCCTGTGCAGAAGTGCATGTGGCTTTCACTGTGAACCTGCTTGAGCCTGTGCAAGGCTCATCTGCAAACTTAGCTCTGGCCTGATTATTTGCAAACTACAGAAGAGCAGGGGAGACCCCAGCCCGTTTCTTCTGTTCCAAGCTAGAGTTACCAGTGAGCAGGTACCAGGGAATCCCCACTAGGGTGCTAAGGAAGGGCCTCAGCGTCGAACGCGACACTGATCTTGCTCCGATACCAACCAGCTCGTGACCTGGGGGATGCTGAGGGATGTTCCTCCCGTGACTCTGCCGGCTCCAGGAAGCTTGGCCCTCTAGGAGCATTTACTGAATATTTTCTTACGAGAAGGTAACAGGAGCAACAGAACCAGAACATGGGGCCAGGTCTTACTTCTGAGCAAGTTCCTTGCGTTTCTGAGCCAGGTATTTCTTCTTTACGTCCATCAGTTCATTGCTGAGTTTCTCAATCTCATACTTATATTCTTGGCTCTGTGATTCATACATGTTCAGCTCTGATGACAAAACCTAATGTGCCAAATGAAGCAGCATTAGCAAAAGATGCAGGGTGAAAAGGAGCCCCTCTCCGAAAACGTTTTCTTCTAGCATTTAGCTGGAGGCGCATAATGATGGGCGGGCTGCACATGTTCCCAGGTGCAAAGTCCACTTCTGAGTAAAACCCCAGCCAAGACTGCTCAAGTGGTGAGGGCCAATGAAACGTCACTTGCCTGGTTCGAAAGAGAACAATCAGGCAAAAGTCAAACAGTGAAGGTGAACTGATCCAATGTGTTTCAAGGAATCCAGTCTATGTTGGCCAAGGTGGCTGCTTTGCTAAGGTCTGCTGCCTCACTGTGACATTCTTTGGCCCTTTGCCTGTTGGAGCGCTCTAGAAACAGGTGGTGGCGGCGTGAGCACAGGACAGCAGTACAAGCAGGACAGGGCTGTGCTGAGACGCCCGTTCCCTCACCGTCTGGGCCTGGGGCCGATGCACGCCACCAGTCTGGGGCTGAGCCAGAGCTGCACCTCAGTCACCCAAGCAGAGCGCAAAGCAAGCCCAAGTGGGGCACACTCCCCATCAGCGCCAGGAGGAGGAAAGGCGCGCTGCTGTTCTGACTCGATTTGTGCTTCCTCTGGCTCGCGAGCTGAAAGATTTGCATAACAGGGACATCTTTGCTTTTTGTGTATTCATCTGCTTCTGAATACTTTCTTTTTAACTGCTTCAAAACTTACTCTGACTACGCTGTCATAACCTAAAGGCTGTGACTTTCACATTGGAAAAAAATAAAACCTGTCAAACCCTGGGAACAAAACTTTGCTTCCAAACAATGAATGGGAACGTCCCTGAGAGCCCAGAAAATGACACTGAGCTGTTGGACGGCCTCAGTGCTGCCTGCCTCCCTGCCCCTGCTGCACAAGGTTGCACTGTCCTGAGTGAAAAACGCAGACTTCCAGAGATAAAGCGTTGAGGAAAGTATCAAAAGGCTCCTCGTGAGGGCTGCTTCAGCCACCAAGAGCTATGTGGGGGTGGGGGGGCTGAGGATATAGCCACACAGTCTAAGCCACTGCCTGGCATGCGCAAGGACCCAGGTTCCATTCCCCCACCATGCCATGCCGGCCACACTGTGCCAGCCACCAAACCCAGGAGTGGTGGGGCATGCCTGTAATCCCAGCACTGGGGAAGCTGAGACAGGAGGATCACTGCAAATCTGAGCTGCATAGTGAGACCCTGTACCAAATAAAGAAAGAAAAACTTAAAAAATAGAGTTATGTGGGGCCAGACAGACATGTGCTATCAACCCCATCCTGACAAAACTAGGAAGTAAATCTTTGAATGTTTGTTTGAAATATTTAGTTGTTCCGAGGAGCACAACTGAAGACATACGCGCTACGCAGAGCTCGAAGTTTGAGTACGCTCCCTCGGAATGAGCATTCAGAGGAATGTGAAGATTAACATTATAACTAGACTTGTTTTGCTGCCCCTTTTGTGTGAAAGGACATGATCTGACACTGTCCAATTTGTGAGAGTGTGAGGGACATTTGCTGCACCAGGCAGAAAGGCAGGGCCTGGGCAGGTCGGCACCAGAGCCAGCAGGCATTCATGCCTCCCGCGGCTGCATGCTCAGAACCTGCTTAGTGAGCCCAGGCCAGTAGGCCTTGCTCTGCGTGGGAAGCTCAAAGCGCTGTGTGAGCACACGTGGTTTTTAGGGAAACGCAACAGAACAAGGCCCTACCTCTGCAGCTGAGATGTTTCTGTTACTTAGGAGGGACTTACGCAAACAAAAGCCTGGAGATATATATGAATGTATCTAGTACAGGGTATACAGGGTCTCACTACACAGATCGGACTCACAGTGATCCGCCTGTGTTCAGCCTCCCAAGGGCTGGGATTACAGGCACATGCCACCATGCCCAGTCTCAATTGCTGTCTCAGTGTGCCCCGGGGTGGGGCTGGCACGGCCATCGAGGATCCACCCCCAGGCCCCCACGTCTGCCTAAGCAGGCTCTTTAGTCCGCTGAACTATCTGGCCAGACTCCCTCACATGATTTTTGTTCTTTCTCACCAGTCTTGCAGGAAGACCTGGGGGCTGGCAGGAGCTTTTCTTTCCTGGTGAGGAGAGTAGTGGAAACCTGCACTGGCCCAGTGGTCAGCTTCAAGTGGCCAACAGCGTTACAGGTCTGAGGTCCTCTAAGTCACCTTGCGGTCATCTGCACAAACTCTGGCGCCCAAATGTCCATTTCCCTGCCTAACCCTCCCGCTCTTTACCCTTCCATGCTCGCAGCCTCCTTCTGAAAAGGGAGGTCATGCTACCCCATGAGCTCTAAGAAAGCCGACGTGGAGCTGTGTGGCCCAGAGGTGACCTCACCAGGCCAGCACCCATGCAGGAAGCCGGCCGACGGGCACTGCCACACCAGCGAAGAGCGGAGCTGCCACTCACCTTCAGCTGCTTGGTCTTCTCCCGCAGGGTGTGCCGGTAGATCTGCAGCTGTTCTGCAGCTTCAGGGCCAGGCTGCCGTGCCAAAATGTGCTTCAGCTCCACGTACAGTTTCTCCTTTTCCTGTGCAGAGTGTGACCCAGGACAGAGATTAACAGCTCCATCCAAGTGCCCTTCACCCCTCGGCAAGGACGGTGGGGACATCCTAGGCTGCTATGCAGCCGCTCGCCCATGACATGCCGACTGTCATAACCTGACCAAAGCGCCGCCATCCTGTTCTGTATGTGCCATCTTAGCGAACCATGTCAGCTGCTGTAAAATGTGCCTATCTCCCAAAACCTCTGTTTCTGCAAGCCGTTGCTGTAAGCCCTCGCTTCCAAGAACCTCTCCAGACCCCTAACCATACCTAGTCTCAGCAGCTGCCATGTCTTCCTGAACTCCCTAAGTTGTACCCTGCCTGCTTTGCGGTTTGAAGCTTTATAAACCCCATGCTCCCCCCTTCGGGGTGCACTTAGGCACTTTGTGCCGGGTGTTGCCGCTGGGTACCAGCTAAAATAAAGCGCTTTTTAAACTTTTAAGCCTGCCTCATTTGAGGCTGGGCTCTGGGGAACCCAGGAGAAGAGCTGCAAAATGGGGCCCTGCATGGAAAAACAGAGGCCAAGCGAAGGGAGAACAGCCACCTCACTTGGAGAGCAAGATGCCAACGATGGGGCCGGAAGGGAGATGGGAGGAGGGCGCATGCGAGAGCAATTGCAGCCCCAGGCAAAGAAAGGTCACTGCAGTGGACAGCACCGAGGGAGAAGCCCAGAAACGGCAGGACTGCAGGCAGCTCCGGTGAGTCCGTAGGGCATAGAGACTGTCCTCACTCGACAGGCTGTACCGATGTCTGGAAAGCTAAAATCACACGGGTGGGAGAGCAAAGCAGGGGCTCTTTCCCATGACCGTAACACTTGAGAGGCTGGGGCAGGGGAGCACAGATTGGAAGCCATCGTGGACAACAATTTCAACCAACCACCTCTCAGACAAAGGACTTCTATCTAAGACATAAAGAACTTAAAAACTCGGCCCCCAACGCTCAAACGCCCAATTCAAAGAAGCGCATCTGAGGTGAATACATACTTCTCCAATGAAGAAATACAAATGGCAAATAAATATATGCAAAAATGTTCAACATCATTGGCCATTAGAGAAATGCAAATTAGAATGACCCGAGATTCCATCTCACCCCAGAAAGAATGGCTATCATGAAGAAGCCAACCAGTAACAAATGCTGGCAGGGATGTAGGGAAAAAAGGAACCCTTCTCCACTGTTGGTGGGAGTGTAGACTGGTACAGCTCCTGTGGAAATCAGTGTGGAGTTTCCTCAAAAAGTTAGGATTGGAGATCCCGTTCAACCCAGCTGTCCCCCTCCTGGGTATTTTTCTAGAAGAACTGAAAACATCATACCACAGTGGTATATGCGCACCCATGTTCCTAGCAGCACAATTTGTCATAACTCAGGAACAGCCCAAATGCCCATCAACTGAGGAATGGATAAAGAAGATGTGGTATTTTTACAAATGGTTATTATTCAGCTATTAAAAAAGATAAACTTGAGGCTTTTATAGGTAAATGGATGTAACTAGGAACCATGCTCATGAATGAAATAAATCAGACCCACATGTGTGAATGTCAGATTGCGGCACTAGTGTAAGAACCTGAAAGAGTAAAGAAAATCTAAACGATAACAATAAATATGTGCAAGAGAAAAAATCTTTTCAAAAAGAAGGAACAACTGGGATAAGGAGAAGGACAAAAGAAAGAAGAGGAGGGCAGCTCCGAGCCCACCGGCCACGGTCTCCGGCGCCAGCTACACCGTTGCCCCGTCACTGTGGCCCATTACAAAGCCGCCGACTCGAAGCGCGAGCAGTTCTGGGAGTACTCGGAGAAGTCGGGGTGCTGGACACATTGGCCAAGGTGTTGGCAGCCTTATAGATGAAGAACTAGAGAAACCTAGCAGTGCCCTGGATTGTTTAAAGCATCACTTAGGAGCTGCTACCCCAGAAAATCCAGCAATTGAGCTGCTTCGCCTAGAATTGGCAGAAATGGAAGAGAAATATGAAGCTACTCTAGAAGAAAATAAAAAGCTGAAAGCAAAGCTCGCTCAGAATGAACCACCTCAGGAGGAGAAGCGTGCTGAACAGGATTCGTCTCAGTTGAAAAGACAATGAAAAATGGTTTTGTATGACTTCACTAGTTTGTATAGTATATAATCCTTTCTGAAGACATGCTACAGAACTCTTTAGTATGTTAAATTCATCTCTCACACTTAAATGTTATAAACGCATATACTCAGAATCACCAATAAAAACTCAATACAAAAAAAAAGAAAGAAGGGGAAAAGATATATGTATGTATGTATATACACAGGACAGCTTGGATAATTATATTCCTGATTTCTGTCAGTTTACTGAAACGAGAAATTAATGCCTAATCTTTTTTTCTCCTTTTTAATTTTTTTATAATTTTAACCAATTTTGGAAGCTTATATCTGGTAATGTAGGCAACTAATTTAAAGACAACATTATGCAACATAACAACCATTGTTTTAATTCTATTATGTTGTTTAGTGAAATTCTGTATCATTTCTAATTTTT